TGCTGAACACCTGAAACTAACACAAAACAATACTGAATATAAATTCTAATTGAAAAATAAATTTTTTAAAATATTCAGAAAAAGACCAATTATGTCATGCCTTTATTCCTTGAGCTTAAAACTCGAGCTATTATTACTTCAAGTTGTTTATGTTTATTTTTATCCTGATTATATTAATATTTCAAAGGTATGAAATATACCAATCTTTGTCCAAGTTGTGGATAGTCAGCAATGTTTAGAAAAGGCTGGGGAAAAAATTTCTCTCTTATTGGCCAGAGTCAAACTTGAAGACCAAAGATCCTAGGTCTGCCTCTCAGCTCTGCATCTGAAGCTCCTGCAAAATAGAAGACACTGGAGTCAGGGAGACAGGCCTAATGACAGACACCACCCTCCAAGGGGCAGTTTCTCTGTTCTTTGAAGAGGTCCAAGAAGGAAAATGTAAGGCCTTAAGTAAGGGCTGTGACTATAGATGAACCAGCAGATGTGCAGTGAGGGGTTAGATGAAGAACACTTAGCCAACAAATAGAAGAAATATGATCTTGGCAAAGTGAAATAAGTGGTTAAGGCTGAGGAAATTCTGCTGAGGAAATGGTCTGTGAAATTCAAGAAAGTTATTATAACTGCCTGCCCTCCAAACACACATTACATTCTTTAATAGCTGAGGAATAAGTGAGTTAAAATAGCCACATTTACTTGACAGTTTATCTCTCGCTGACTTCCCCCTCCCCCATAATATAGTAGTGAACATAGTAAAGTTACTTTTGGGAAGGCACAGAAGAGGCATATATATAATTTGGGGACATTTGAAGCATGGAGGAGTTCCCGTATTTATATCCCACTATTTTTTTCAGGTCTACCAAAACATGAGAAATTTCTCCTTTGGAAAGCATTTACCACTTCCTAGGAAAATCTTTCTACAACAGCCAGAATGCTTAATTCTTAACACATTGACTTTTACAGAAGATACCTGAAAGTACTGAGGATATAGATAAGATGATGAGGGTGATGCTAAAGTTCCAAAAAGATAACTAAAATGAACAGAGGATCACAGACAATTATTTTGACTTCACTTTTTTTTTTAAGTAGATCTGGTTTGGGAAGAACAGATGGGGACAGTGGAAGATTATTTTTTTTCTGCCAATGCACAACAAAAATCAGACACTTAGTTGTTAACAACCTTTAAGACTAAAGAAAAAACATTTCTTCTGTCAAGTCATTTACTTTTCTACACACAGATTATATACTCTAGCAAATATAGGGTTTTTTAAAAAGATTTTATTTATTTATTTTTAGAGAGAGGGGAAAGAAAGGAGAAAGAGAGAGAGGGAAATGTCAATGTGTGGTTGCATCTCTCGTGCCCCTACTGGGAACCTGGCCCCCAACCCAGGCACGTGCCCTGACTGGGAACTGAACCAGTGACCCTTTAGTTTGCAGGCCAGCGCTCAGTCCACTGAGCTACACCAGCCAGGGCAAACATAAGGCTTTAAGTCATTCAAATGAAATTGGTCAAAACCTGATGGTGGAGAACAATCTTAGGAGGGTATGGATGGTAAAGAATTTATCTATGGAAGGCATGGGGAAAGAGTAGGGTAAGAGGGGGGAAATGGCTCATCTTTCCATTGGAGGAAAGCATGTACCTCTTCAGGGAGAGAAAAGGAGAGTAGCGCCTCATAGTACTCTTATCCATGTGTGCAAGAACCCTGACAAAGATCCTCATGTATGTCAGTTTCCTTAAGAAATAACGAAATACAAATTGACTCCTAGAAGCAGAAAAGGTCTATGTAATTACAAAGACCATGTTTATTATTAAAATGTATATTTTTAATTAAAGATGTAAATAAATAGGTTCCAAGTGCAACATTTTTATGGCATCTTGGGTGTAAAAACAAAAAGAAAATAAAAATGAAGTTGCATAAGAGTTGTGCTTATGCACCCTTTCAGACCAAGGTATCTTGATTTGTTGTTCCTATGGCAAATGGTTCTTTTCGTGGAATTACAGGTTAACAGAATTAGCTGCCTAACTGAGTAAAAATGAAAACATATAAATAAAATAATAATAACAATAATTGGAATACTAATAACATAGAAATCCCCCATATTCAACATCTGTCTTGTTGGAATGATTATATATACTTTTGGAATCAGAACTCAAATAACTTTATATAGCAAATGTATTTAAAAAGTAAATAAATTAATGAAAAAAAAAGAAAATGTGAGCTTATTTATCTTGAATTGTATATTACTGTAGTTAAGGGTGTTTACTTTCTGTACCCTGATTTTATTGAACCCAGAGAGTGATAAATGGGAGGTTTGGAGAAGAGAGTCTCCAAGGAAAGGCGATGCTCAGAGAGGAAGCTGCTGTCTGGGTAGCAGCTGCAGCAGTATTTCTCTCCTAGTTTAGATTTTCCCCTGAAAATCAGGTTCAGAGTTGGAAAAGTTAAAAAGAAAGCAAGCAGAGATCTGAGAAACTGATAGCCATGCTTGTAGATACATGTCTTAGAATTTATCGTCCTCATTATGGTAAACAAAGTAGGTGATCACTTACTACATCTATAGTCTGAAAAACACTGCCGTAAAACATACTTCTTCAACGTATCTTCTTCAGTCTGCTTCATTGTCTCTAATTCCCTCCATTAAAAGTTAGGGATTAATACTTCTGAGTTAAGTCTTATTCCTAAGGCCTAAAATTTAGATATCCCTGGGAAAATTAATGTTAAGCTAACATTAGCAACTTAGTGTGAATAAATTGACCAGATTACTGATTTGAAGAAGAAAAGAATAAGACAAAAGACAAAACATACTGATGGGGAGAAGTAGGTAAAGTGAATCAGGGCAATGAATATAAATTCAGATGGACAGGTCTGGGGAGAAAGGGTGGTCCTAGCGAAGCAGCATAAAATACTGGATACTTACCTCCTTGCATGATGTAAATGATCTTCCAGGGCTTTTAGGCAGTCTAATAAGTGGGCTCTAACCTCAACCATTTCTCTAAAAAGTTTAATAATCCCCTGAAAATATTTTCTCTCCCCTTTAAAAAAAGATATGTTTAAAGAGAAATTAATACTTTAATAAAATTGGGTCACTGGTCTCACAAAATGACCATAAGAATAATAACTCATGATTATGTAGAAAATAGTAAAAACATATAGTATAGACAAGACTCTTCCATTACAAGTACCCACAAAATCTTGTGAACCCATTACAACACTAAATTATATCCAAACACAAATCACTTTAAGGCAAACAGACCAGACACAGTTAGTTACTCTTTCCAAAACAACAACTTAACACTTATTTAACACATCAAAATATGTACCTTACAATTAATAATTAAGAGATAGATACACTATTGCTAGCAGCACAAAGTCAGTCTTCTAATAGGGTATCATTTTAATAACAAAGTACAAGCAAAATCAACACTTGTCCGGAGAAAACATTAGAAAATTTTCCATGCATCTTAGATATTCCACCACTTTTTCCCACAAAACATTTTAGTATCATAACTGTGTGCCTAAAACAACTCCTTTCTTCTAAATATGATGGAACTGTGGGTTGATTTCCATATTCCTGCCAGATTAAAAGTAGCATGTGTCTTTATTATATAGCACACATATTTCGAGTAGAGCATTTTTTAAGTTAGAACTTTTTGCTAAAACATGTTTTAAAGTATTGCAATATTTAAGACCTCAGGTTTAATTACTATTCAGATCCTGGTTCTATTTCTTGATACTAGTACCAAACAGGTAGAAGGCAAGGCATTGTAAGGAGTGTCCAATGCTGCCAAAATTAATCTTATTCACTTTTTTCAAAAGGTAAAATTGACTTCTCCAGCTGTGGGGAGATAGGCTATACTGACCTCAGAATGGTACCACTGAGGCAAAGCTGGACCAGACAAATGACAGAAGACTAGGACCCACGTGCCTAGCTGCTTTCAAACCCTACTCTTGGCTTGACAGTTGCCACCTAACTTAAAGTAAGAAATACAATATGATGAGGTTTTTAAGAGGTGTACCCAACTCTACTTCATCTTTTTCCTCTGGTCTACGCTTGGTAATTAATTAGTGCACTACTTATTAGGCTCAAAAACTGCAATAACCTGTCAGAGGTATTTCAACATCACTCTGGAAACATGGTGGAAACTCCCTTTACAAGGCAGGTATATGCATCTCCAGAGGTGTTCCTCACAAATAATTTAAGGGAACCACATTGTTCTTGTGACCTATCTGCTGTCTTCTGATTTATAGAGGTAATTTGGGTCATATTGTATGGATTTGACAAGCTACCTGCCCTGGGTGGATTCAATATGGCAGCTTATACAGTCATAGAAAGTTATTTTAGGTAAATCTGTTTCTTGCCCTTACTTTTTAACAAAATAAAGGCCCAAGTTCAGATTTTCATTCTATGAATAGGTGTGACAGATGATGTTTCGTATTGACACTGAAACGAAGGAAATAGCTATTTAAGTCTTCAAGCCCTAGAGTGTAATCAGACATGGGAGATAAAAATGATCCCATGTTTATAACACTTTATTTTCACAGAACAATATATTGTCCATCCTACTTAATATATAACCAAAATACAATATTGGAATATAAACTGTAATTACCAGTATAAATAGACAACTACATTGCCTCTAAATACTCAGTGTCCATTGTACCAAACTAAGTGCTTATGAAGACACCAAAGTAATTGTCTCTTTGTGTCTTAGGTTCACAAATAAAACTGTTGATTCTGGTTGAGAGCATATGTGTATAAGATATCACTGGAATTTCATAGTTCAAGTCTTAAAGACTTGGTGACAAATTACTCCATGGACATCAATGATGGTAGAGTGTAATGCTCTAAATAGGTTCCGATATAAAGATGTGAATTCCTCATATAGGTAAGCTAGAACACAACCAAAAGGCTGTGAGTGCTTCCTGTGATTACTTTCCAGTAGCTTGGGGCATTACAAATGTATTCTGATAGATCTTCATTTCAGGCCACATTCAGTTTTTTATTTAGGATAATTCAGTTGTCATAGTAGAAGTAGTATGGTTGCTCACGAAGGATTTCACATGGAGCTGGATGCTATCATGCAAATCTTGTCTTGAAAGCCGTCTTCTGAATTCATTAGTGGTGAAGTAATATATGACTGGGTCAAGGCAGGAATTCAAACTAGCAAGACACAGGGCAACAGAATGAAATATCAGAATTACCCTTCTGGCGAGGCAGCTTTTAATTTTGTTGGACTTGACCAGGAAATCTAAAGGAAAACTGAAGTGATAAGGTGCAAAGCAAATTAAGAATACTCCCGCACAAGTTAGAATCATCTTCAAGGCTTTCTTTTTCTCTCCAAGGTCCTGGGCCACAGGATATTTATCTTGCAGCGATAAAACAGCCTTCCAGCTACAATATAGGACAATCAGAAGAGGAGTGACAAACCCAATCAACTCGCCAATGGTAATCATGGCAACAGACTGGGCCACATTAACATTCCTTGTAGGAAGATCTACAAAGCATTTGGTTCTGTTGCCTACGGTGTCATCACTGGTTCGCAGGTGAGGAAAGAGCATACAGGCAAGGCAGATGATCATCCAGCCAGCAATGCTGATGTATAGGTCATATTTCTGTTTGCAGTCACGGAAGCGAAAGGGGTACATGATAAACCAAAATCGCCGCACACTGATGCAGACCAAGAAATAGATGCTTGCATACATGTTGACATACTTCAGGTAGAAACAGAACATGCAGAGGCCCGGCCCAAATGGCCAGTCACGATTCAAGTAGTAAAAGATCCTCAGAGGCAGGGAGAGAATTTGTAGTAAGTCAGCAATGGCTAAGTTTATCATGAATATCACAGCTCGTTTGGTTTCTTTCATATAGCCATAAAATACCCACAAGGCTAATATGTTCCCTATGAAACCTGGCACAAGAATGACAGTGTATGTCACTGCATAGATAAAGTATCGTAAATCTGTAATGTGTCCATCTGGCTCAACACATGTGTCATTAGTAGGCATTTTTCTTTCCACAGAAACTGTCTTTGCCAAATGCGGTTCAAACCTAAATTCACAATCAATTGCTGCTCTTTCTTAAAGATTTATTATCGGTGGGTTGGTCAGACTGAGTATAAAATAACCTCCTTCTTGCTGTGTAGGTCTCAGCTGCTACACGTGATTTTCAAAGAACTATCTGCATGTTTCCTTTGATTTGTCTGCAGTAACTACATGGAAGTCTAGTGTGCAAGCACAGATGACAAGCCGTTATAATTTCCCTCTTTTTTTACTCCATCATAAGGCTTTTTGGGACATCACGACAGTTGATTCTCTCTCGTCTGAATCATGAACATGCCATAGAGCAGTTCTTCCAATTCCTGTATGATGATAGCTGTCTCTTTACAGGTGTTTGTTTGGCAGGCCGTTTTTTCTTTTTATGGCTCACATAGAAGAAAGTTTTCCTTAATACTCAGTAGGTCTGCAACTCTTCAGAGATGATCAATGTAGATACACCAGCTTTTCTGGGAGTTTTTCAGTTATGTATTGAAAGCTAAAAAGCGGGAAACAAAAGCAGAGCTGCAAGTGAAAGAAAAAAAAATTATTGTCTGACACTTTTTGCAAAAAGAAAAAAAGAAAAAAAACCTATATGTAGAAAAATCTATTAGTTTGCACAGGAAGTTCTGATTTGAGCACAGGTGACATTCCACTGTTTCTACAAGGCACTTCAGAATTGTAAGTATAGCTTGGAGGATTCTGAGAGGTAATCTAGCCCCTTGATGCTCAAAATGTCATCCTGAACCAGCATCACTTGAGAGCTTGTAAGAAATACAGAATAATCTCCTGTCCCACCAGATACCTGCCAAATCAGGATCTGCAATTTAACAATAGCTACAGGTTTTTCTTTTGTATAATAGCATTTCTGAGGCTCTGATTTAAACCATTGCTTTACAAACCCCACCAACCGTCAGGCTCATCTGGGGACATTTTTTTAAAAATAAAGCTTTCCATAGCTTTCTTCATGTCTCCTCCAGAGATTCTGATTCAAAATGTAGGGCCTGAAATTTGTATTTTTTTAAAAAATGCTGCCCCATATGATTCAAATACAGCCAACCCAGCATTTCTCTTTGAGCCGTTATTGAGGGGCGACTGATTTGATCCATATCCTTCCCAGATGTCTGAGAAGTGGGCAACCAGCCTCTCTTTAAATACTTCTGTTTACATGGGTCATTTAGCCACCTCTCAATTATCCTAGACAACAAACCATAGCACTAGTAAGAGAATCAAAATCCCCAGAAAGTTGACTCAGCTGGGTCTATGACCTTTGTTCTGAGGTAAACAAATTTAAGCTTAAGGACTTGGAGAATTGCCTCAAGGCCGCTGAAATCCAGAAGGACTTAACTGACTTTAAAGATATGGGGGGAAGAACAAAAATGAAATAGAAATTATGAAACATCCTGCTTTGGATAATAAAATCCATGTGGTTTGAGGTGTGCTTGATTCAGACTCTGAAGGAATTGTAGTTGTTATTATTTTGACTCTTTTGCCTGTTAAATAAAAGAGCACTTTTTGTTCGAAGATATGGTGGTGCTCACTTTAATTAAAAGTCTGATGAATACCATGAACTTTGCATTCAGATTAAACAGGTTAAATACTTGAGATTTCTTAGATAGGGAAGTAAAAGAAGTAGGGAGATGGTGTTATAAAATACAGGCAAGTACAACTGTAAAGAACTTTAATATTGAAAGTGTGGTTAAAATTAGAGGTCCTTCAACTGACAAACTGAAATACTTCTTTAAAATATTTTCAGAGGTAGTGATTATGATTAGGTGACAGGAGAAATTAGCTGGCATGCCAAAAAGTGAAAAGCCCTGGATTTTGAACTTCCTTTTAACTATTTACATAAAAATCATTGCCAACTAATGTCACTGATTAAACATTAGAAGTTTACAAATATTCATTCAGTCAACCTCTGTTGAACATCCATTCACTTCTATCACAGCCAATGTGTCTTAAATCTATATCATCTCATCTGAGCTATAGCTCTCTTTCCAATTATATATAAGACCTCTTCTCTTGGATGTTTCATCATCATCGTAAATTCACTATAACTATTAAAGTGAAGTTATCTTTTACATTTATTTAAAATGCCATACTTTGTCAAATCATGTTATCTTTTTAATTAAAATCTCCTAATGTCTTTGTTTTAAATATTTATTTATTTTTTAGAGAGAGGGAAGGAAGGGAGAGAAACATCCATGTGAGAAACATCAATCGGCTGCCTTCTGTACGCTTGCAGACCAGGGATTGAACCCACAACCTAGGCATGTGCCCTGGCCGGGAATCAAGCACGTGCACTTTCGATTTGTGGGATGATGCCCAACCCACTGAGCCACACCAGCCAGAGCTCCTAATAACTTTCTATGTCATTTAGAGGAAAAAATTAAAGTTCTTACAATGAATGCCCTATATCATCCTGTATAATTTGGCCCCTTTTACTCCTCCAAGCTGACCTCATAACACTCCCCTGCACTCTGTTCCAGCCACTTTTGTCATTCTTGCTGTTAGGGGAATGGGCCAGGTACACTCCTAACTCAAAACCTTTGAGTTGACCACTCCCATTGCCTGAAATGCTTTAGCCAAGTTATTTTCCTGTTTTACTCCCTCACCTCCTTCAGGTCTTTATCCAAATATCACCTTTTCTTAAGGATTTCGTTGGTCTTCTTATTTACAAAACTGCAACTCTCCCCCAGTTTTCCCCATTATCCATCAATATTTATTTTATCTATTATCAAACATAACTAACATACTCTAGGGTTTTTACTTATTTATTTGGTTTTTATATATGTTTCCTAGTAGAATGTTAATTTCATGAGGACAAGGATTCTTGTGTCTTTTGTTTACACGCTGTATAACAGAACAGACGACTGTCCAAAACATAAAGTAAGTGCTCAGTCTTTGTTAAATAAAATAATTTTAGTAAATAAAAATTGACTATAAAAATCAACATATCTCAAAAAAATCATCTCTCAAAACTTGAAGCCAGATTCTCTAAACTTTCTTATTGCTCTTCAGAGAACCACTATTTTCTCAGGTCATCTCTTTGTCACTCATTCTCCACTGCCAAACAAGTTCCTATGGGCATAATAGCATACAAAGAGGGGGAGCGATGTATGTTTAGGATCAGAATAACCTGGGCTTAAATTCTTGCTCTTTCAATTAACAGCTCTGTGATTCTGGATATATCATTAAAACTCTCTGGTATTTAATTTTCTCATTGATAAAATAAAGCTAATCATAGTACCTAAGCTATAGTCAGCGTGAGAATTAATTGAGCTGCTAATGCAAACCATTTAGTATAGTGTACATAATAAATGCTCAATAAACATTAGTTATTATAGTTATTAGTACTCTTTTGCGCAACTGCATTATTTCTTATGACCATCTCATTTTTTTAAAGTTTCATTTTTTATACTCTAGTTCAGGCCCTCATTACTTAATTTGTCCCCCTATCCTTTATCTTTTTGTCCTTCATTCTACATAATGCTGTTAGATTTATTCTTTTCTAAGATGAGCTCTTTAAAAAGCACTACTGACTCCCTATTGCCCAACAAATCACAAAGTACTCAATCTAGCAGTCAATGGCTTCTGTAAATACAATTAAATCTATTTTTAGAGCTTTGTGTCCTACTACTCCCCTAATATGTAGCTCCAGCTAAAGTGAGCTTCTTAGTATTCAAGTGGAATTTTTTTCACAAACAAAATTTTCTCATTCTGCTGGCTCAGCCTGGAATGAATGAATATATAAAAGTGAATTTTGCATATCAGCTGCAGCAATTATTTATAAAGGTCTTTCTCAGACTTCTTGTCCTTTTATGTTCTACTATGTTAGCCCCAACTTCTTTTTTAAAAATTTATTTATTTATTTATTTGTTTGTTTATTTATTTATTTATTTATTTTCTAGAGAAAGGGAAAGGGAGAAAAAGGGAAACATCAATGTGTGGCGGACTCTTGTGCGCCCCCTACTGGGACCTGGCCTGTAACCCAGGCATGTCTCTTGACTGGAAATTGCACCTGCGACCCTTTGGTTCACAGGCCAGTGCTCAGTCCGCTGAACCACACCAGCCGGGGCAGCCCCTTTTCTTTTTAAAAATCCCCATTATACCTCTCTTAAAGCTCCTACCTTCCCCCTCTTTTGCTGGTAATTTGTGTCTGTGTCTTTATGCCCCTTGCTCCTCTGCCTACTCCACCTCACAACAACTGAGTGAGAAACTTCTTGAAGTCCGGGGCTGGGCCTTATATACCTCTATCCCCTAAAGCACCTAAGGCCATATTTGGAATGTGATGGGTTTATTCAACAAATATTTATTCAGCATCTACTATTTGCTAGGCACCATGCTTGGTAGTGGGGATACACACAGTGGGGAAAAAAGCACATGATCTCTGTCTTTTTGGACCTTAGAGTCTAGGGAAGGAAAATGATAATTGCCACACAGTGTGAAAAAAATGTAATCACAGGTAATGTACAGTATACTCTATAAGCACAAAAGAGGGAAACTGACTAAAATATTAAGGACATTTTTGCTTTAGGGAAGTGAATTTAAATTCAAGACTACAGTCTTAAAGTTCGTACTTTTCCTGTTGGTCATTTCCTCATTGGCCACATTTCAATGCATTTTCATTAGTATACCCTGACATGTAACCTTGAAAAACTCCTAAATACAGCATCTCTGTCTTCCTCCTGGGAGATCTGATGGTAACTTCCCTCTGTTTACATCACATTTTCTAATAGAAAAATTTGCTTGGATGATTGGAAAGGCTTTCAAATGTGAAAAAAGCCCTAGTTAGCTGTGCTATAATGAATATAAATACCACTTTATCTAAGAGTGATAAAGACTAAAGATGAAAGTGGCATGTTTTTTAGAGCATACCACTGTTTTTTGAGACTTTCCTTTTTCAGAAAGAATCCATATTGTAATTAATAGACATTGGAATAGACTCCAGTTATGAATGAGATAGTCATTTG